GCTGCCCTAGCTCCCCCCTTGCCATGGCTAAGAGCAACTCCACCCATTTGCCCCTTGCCGGGCGAGGGCAGCTACTATTCACGTGAATAGTAGTTGCCCTTGCAAATAGTATATTTTGTGTTTCCACCCATTGTCATGGCTAAGGGCAATTACTATTCATTTTTTTGTTTTTTTCACAAATTTTTTTACCTCAATAATTAATTTGGACAAAATTTTTGGTGTGGGAAGTGAAAAATATGACTAAGTATTTATTTTTTAAAAATCTGAATTTTTTTTTTTCGATTTTTTTAATAAAAAAATTGTTGCTGATGTCAGCAGCCCTCATTTTGGACCTGGGGCTGAACTGGCCTTCGGGCCAGCCCGACTTGCAGGGCCCCACACCCTGCCCGGGCCTCAGCTGACCGCTGGAACGTGATTTTTTGGTTTTTCTCCCCCTAGCCTTGGGCTCAGTCAGCCCCTCGTTGGAATGGCTCTGAGGGCCATGGTGGGTTTTGGACGGTTTCAGTTTTGCTGTCATCCTTTTTCAATAAAACGTGCCAGAAGAAACTGCTCTGGAGTGGGGTCTGCACCTTTTTTCTTTTCTTTTTATTTTTTTTAAAGTTCTGCGTAATTGTTCTTTTACAATTATACCTGCTTTAATTAAAATCGGTGCATTTTAAAATTTGAGTTTACCAAGGATATTTTCGGAATTTTTGAATGTTTCACCATTTTCTACCTTTTGCTTTATATATATAGATAATTAGCATACCATAATTTTTTTATGACATTTTTATTATTATTGAGAGATGCGATAACATACTAAATTCACATACACACACACACACACATACACACTACACAGCAGGGGCGGAGGCATGGGACCAGTTCCGCCACTGCTACACATATGCTAAGACTCGAACCCTCGACCTTTCTTGAGGGAGTATTGACTCCAAACCACTACACTAGTGGATTCTTCACTATCACACCACATTTTAGTTACTAGACAATGAAGTTAAGATTATTGTCCCATTAACACATTTTAGTTATGGCAATCACAATTTTAGGAATGGCATTTTGAACATGACATTATAACATAATTTGATCTAATACAAGGTTAGTGAGTTTGGATTTGTCATTTCTTGACTCGATAATGAAAATGATATGATATATGCGGTGACAGATTCAGGAATCTTATCTCATAGGGTCATAGTGTAAAAGCTCCAAATTTTTTTAAGATTAAAATAACATTGAAAATGAAACTATAGTGCGTTAATTCATAATTCATGTCAAAAACAACATTACAAGCTACAATTGTCCATGATGACATTTCATATTTTGAAAACGTAGCATTATAGCTTCATTTTCAGTTTACAATTAGATCTAAATTTGAAGATTTCTGAACATGACTCCTTTTCTGTCTTTGAGGAAATCTAAATCCCTATGGAGCCTGTATAATCAAGCTTGAAATATAGAAAGGAAAAAAAAGAGAACAAATATAGAGAAATCTTCTGGGTATATTATAGTGATAAGCTTAGTTTTTCGACCGTTAGACGCTGATGTATGTTTGATCTACGGTGAGATTCACATATATCAACGGTTGACAATCGATCCTCAGTAAGTCGATGAGTGTCCTACGTTATACTCGAAAAACTAAAAGTAAAAACATCAATTGATCATGAAGTCACTTCCAAATCATTATACTTTGTTCTTGTTCTCTCTGGTGTTTGTGTTTGTTCCATGACCTTTCTCTTGTTAATGTTGGGTTGGTCTTCCATAGCCCTACCCTTCAACATGTGGGGTCTAAGCTTGTTCACATCCGACAATTGCACTGGTTTTAGAAAGAACTCTTCTGCTCCTTCCTCCAAGCATCTGATCAAAGAACCCATCAAGCCACATGTCAGATCATGATCATAAAATGAACCAAGAATTTCTAATTTGAGATTTGAAATTTCCCCTAACCTGTTGATCCTTGATGGCTCATTCTCTGAGGACATAATAACAACTGGTATGTCTTTAAGAACATGAGATTCCTGCAAATCAAAGTAAACTTTTGTTAGTCTATCCTGGATGATGCACCAAGTTTAATCATTCACTCATGGACAATAACAACTCCAATTATACAAGTATAGGCCCAAATTTTAGCTTGATTGAAATGGTTTTGGGCTGGAAACAATTCCAATTGTGAATTCTGATACTGATCCTCAAAACTTTGCTGAATTGAAAGTAAGATGCATAATGGTTTTGGGTCTTGTTTTTTTTTTTTTTTTTACCTTAATCTTTCTGAGGAGATCATAGCCTGTCATTCCTGGCATACAGTAATCTGTAATGATCAAATTTACTTCTACATCCTGTAAAAAGAGGCAGGGGGAAATGAATCAGATCAGACTGATGAAATTGCAAAACAGAAATTCAAATAAAAAATCACAAAATTGAATCAAACAGGAAACAACATATATACCTGGTGATGATTATCTGGAGACGGAGAGGGAACATCTGCATCAATTTGATCATCTTGATCATGCAAACCCAAAAATTCCAAAGCCTTACTTCCAGAATCAACAGCAGTAACTGCAGAAATTGAAAAGAAGAAAACAACCCAGAAAGATTTTAGCATTCAATTAAAGCCAAAACAATGATTCAAAAGCAGAATTGAACAAAACCCAATATTTTTTTTTTCTTTCTAAAGGAAACCAAAAACTCCATGAACATATAATACCTTGGTATGAAGAAGTCTTGAGAAGTCTCTCAATCAACTTTCTATCAATAACGCTATCATCAACAGCCAGAACATGAAATTGGGCCTCTGCAGACAAACCCATGATTGATGAACTCTTGTAATATCAAACGCAATGACACCAGGAACAGAGGAGGAAGAAGAAGAAGAGAAAGAAGAAGAGCAGAAGAAGATGATGAAAGGTAAGAAAGGGTGGGTGGGTTTTAAATGGGAAGCCATCGGAGTCAGAGAGATATAGAAAATCCTCTTGAAAATCTGACAGTTTGGAAAGAAAGATCCGACAGATTTCGTCCAGAATCTCGAGGATCTTCTTGGTTGATTTTTGAATTAGTGAAGAAGCAAAGAAGGTGCTGTTTTTTACTGTTTAAAATGTGGACTTGTTCATTATATTCCATTTGACCTTTCAGAATGACCATTTCGTTCGGTCCAATCCATTCAAATTTTTTAAACCAGATTTTGACACCTATTTCGATTTTTTATTTATGAAAATATATATTCGATCTAGTCACAAAATTTCACGAATGCTAGCATGGTACTTGGGGCGGTAGAATCTGGACGAAATCTTTGCTACTGTTTGTTGGGGCACCCTCCTGTTTCCTTTGTGGATTTGGTTTGGGCCCTCTGTTGATGTTATTCTGTTTGCCATTTCTTCGCCTATTATGAAGGCATCTTTTCGACCATAAAAAAGGGCAGTAGAATAATTTCAATTGCACACATTCTCATCTCATGTTTACTTACTAGAGATAACAGAAGTCATGAATCGGGGAATATAGATGGGGTAATTCAGGCACGGGAATCGGATCAAATAACTTCCTCTAGTTGATTTCGCTTGATTTGAAGGATATTTCATTACGAATTTTAACTAAACATGTCAAAATTTCACCAATGCTATACATGTGAGCATGATAGTTATCACAAGAGGAGAAAGATAGTGGGACTTAAAAAAGTTGTGGGAGATTTTCATTTTATATCTTATTAAAATAACTTATATTAGTTGCTTGTCCTCAATATATTTATTTTTATTTTCATTTAATAAGAATAAACTTGGTGAAATAAGGACATATAAAATATATTTTCTACAAGAATGAAAGAATACACAGTAAGAGAGATGTTTCCATGCAAGTGCATGACCAACTTCAAACCCAATACCAAATTGCATGTGTATTTTCTTAGCAAATTGTATGTCCTTTGTCACTGTCAAAGGGGCAGCCCTGCCAGAACAAATGTTTGTATCGTTGTGTCGACATAAAACAGTCACGAAGTCATGAAATTGACACGTATCGCCTAATTCCACACTTGAAGCTCTGAGATGAATTTTAGAATGTCGTTATGATTTTCTTTGGGTTGTTTGGAAAATATGGAGCAGTGGTCCTATTTCTTAGATTTGTTTTAGACTAATAATTTTTATAAATTCTTTAGGAGTTTGTTGTGATTTGCTTTCTATTTAGGATTTTATTTCTTTTTAGCTTTTGACTTTTGATACGGATTTGTTGTTTTTGCCGTTGCGGGTTGGATTTGTATTGTAGGTCTGAGTACATGTTGTTGTATATCACAGAAAAAGATTTACCCATATTCGACACATAGTTGCTTTATACTTTTGTTTGCTCTTTAATAATATACTATCGCTTATTTTCAACAACAACAAAAAAAGATGAATTTTTCAATAATATAATTATTTGTACTAAATTGAACGAATTATAGATTCAAGGTCGACCATGATGCTCGGACTTGAAAAAAAAATTGAATGAAGAAGAAAATTTATAGCTAGTGATTGTAAAGAATGAAACACCCCACCCCAACCCCAACCCAACATTGTTCTATTTTAGTGCATCCACGAATGAAATCTCTAGCGATTCTCTTTGATTCTCTTGCATGAAGTTGGAATCTTTCCCCTCCCCTTTGGTCTCGTTTTTAACGAAAAGGAAAAAGAACGATCAAATCCCTGAAACCATGATCCCAAGTATCATCAAATCAAATCATATCCTTTGTTCAGGTTTTCCTATATACAACTTGATCATTTCCTTCAATTCTTGCCATTCAGATTTCAGATTTTTAATTCAATAGAAAAAATCTGCTTCAAGCATGTTCATTGGAATAATTGGTGGGATTGAGCTTAAGACCTCGGGTGCACAGGTAAATGCTCTTACCCCTTGAGCTGTAAGTCTCTTGTACATTATTTCAATACATTTGATTAAGCATGTAAAAAAGTCTTTCATTAGGCATTTGAACTTAAAATCAACGACCTATATACCTAAATCGCAGAATGTGTTTCCTTGCAAATAAATAAGTACTTGTAATTGTCGAGCTTAACTTCTAGCTGCTAATGGTAGAGCACTTTATCCCAAGTTTAAGTTGTGAGTCTTAGACTTGTACTTGCTCTAATCTTGCCTTTTATGTCTCATGTCTCTCCTCCATCATGGTTCTTTGCAAATAAGCTCATCTCTGCCTTTAGTTTCTCTTCTACTCCAACCTTTCTGTACACAAAAGCCCTTGCAATTAACACATAAACACACAAACTCAGTGTGCTCAATACTGCTAGCACCCAGTAGAAGTAATCAAGGTGAGCCCGATTTATATTGTCCCCAAGCCATTTCTCACCATTTCTTGAGGTAATGGACTGCACAATACTTATAATACCAAAGCTTATAAAGCTGCCAACTCCGATAACACTAATAAAAGCCGCTGCCCCGATGCTTCTCATCTGCTCCGGCATTTGATCATAAAACAGTTCTTGAAGTCCCACGGTTGTGAATGCATCGGAGACACCGCAAATTAGGTATTGTGGGAGTAACCACCATACCTTCATTGGTATTATTGCTTTAGGCTTGTCAATGAGATATCTGCTCCGGCATTTGATCATAAAACAGTTCTTGAAGTCCCACGGTTGTGAATGCATCGGAGACACCGCAAATTAGGTATTGTGGGAGTAACCACCATACCTTCATTGGTATTATTGCTTTAGGCTTGTCAATGAGATTATAATGTTTTGCAACGTCGAGCCTTTTGGCCTCTACTAGGGCTGACACAACCATATTGAGTATTGATATAACTAGGCCGATCCCGATTCTTTGTAGCACGGTAATGCCTGAGGAGTATCCAGTATATTTTCGGGTTAGTGGGACGAAAAATCGGTCGTAGAGTGGAACAGCGATTAAGATGGCAATGCCAACAAGTCCTTGAAGTGATGCTGGAGGGACTTGGAAATGGGGACCGATTGATCGGATTGTTGTGCTACTTTGTTTGGTGAAGAAGGTGTGAAGTTGGGCTTGGATTACACCAAACATTAGGCAACTTAACCATATGGGAATGAGTCGGAGGACAAGCTTTACTTCTTCCACTTGATTGAGAGAGCATAGCCTCCATGGATTTCTGGTTTTGGTTGATGCATCTACTTCGTCTATGATCATTGCCTTGTCCAGAAATCTACATTTTGTTTTTCCAATAAGTTAATAAGCCTGCAAATTGTAATTACTATAAAGAAAAGGGCAAGGGAATGGCTATGTCTTGTTCCTAAACTACAAATGGGAAAAACAACTTGGGGAAAAAGAAGGTATTAGTAATAATTTATGAAGGCATTTGGACAAAACAATAAGAAGGTAATGTAATTTCTTGGCCATCCGCTTAATTTTCTATTGAGAATTGTAGTGATATGATGTTCAGTTTTAATATTGTAACATTGCATTGTCGATACAGTGTGGTTCTATTACGTACCCGGTTTTCATGGTGTGATCCCCACAACTTGGTAGAAACTCATTACAAATATGTATCATCCTCGTCATTCATGTGAGTTGAACATGAGACCTCCTCCCACTAATAACTGGAGACATATACCACTAGACAAAACAGTTGGTGCAACCTAGTTGGTTTGGACGCTTTTGCTACTTGGACTGTAAGCTAGAGTTTGGTTCTTGGGGTAGTCAAAGTTCCTAAATTATTAGAGGATAGAAAAAAAAAAGTTCCCAAATTATTAATTCTTTATTCGTTTTGTTCTTGAGGGTTTGACTTTAGGGCTGTAGGGTTTGACTTTAGGGCAGTAGAGTTTGGCAACACCTATACATATGCTGTTTTGTCACTAACATAAAACTGTGTAGAGGTTGAGGGATTGACTTTAGGACACAAGAGGTTGGCAACACCCACCTTTGCTTGTCACTAGCATAAAATTGGTGTAGGCCCACAAAGTGTTATGTGCAATATTAATCAACTAGCTATTGGTCATTATAAAGTTAAAACATAAAAAATAAAAATAAAAAAGTTATTGGTCAGGCGTACTTCTTTTCCTTAACGTTGAAATATGTTCCAAGATTTCGGGGTACTTCTTTTTCTAACGTTAAAAGATGTTCCGAGTTGAAATCTCGTAGCCATTGGTTTAAGAAAATTACTAGCATTTAATTATAAAAGTTACCTCAGTTGACTAGTACGAGACAAGACTAGAGCTTGAGGTTGACCTTCTACCATGGCTCCACCATTCTCGTCTCCATAATATACACTCTCGCAATTGAGTGTCTCATTGACGTGCCATTTCCGAGCTGCTGCCACAAACACTTGTGCCAGCGTTGTAAATGGGCTGCCAGGAGGCCTTTGCTTCCGGTACCTTTTAATTCCCACCAAGAATAATAATAGTGACACCATCAAGACCCCTGCCAATATTCCAAACCCTAATCCCCACCCAACATTATCCTACAACAAAAATATTGATTTTAATTACTGTTCATATGTAATTAATCAACCGCAAAACAGTATTCTAAATACTTTTTTTTTTGGGGACAATATATATATGATGAATGATTTGGAGCCAATGTGGGTCTTAGTACAATGGTAGAGCTGTTGGTATTCAGGCTAGTAGTCACTAGTTAGCGGTTCGATCTTCCATGACACTGTGTGTGTGAGAATACCCTCTCTCCTTTCTAATTGGAAAAAAAGATGTTAAATTAATGCAGGAGGGAACAGATGAACCATGCTTGTTACAAGAACACGACTTACAAACCCTTTGACGCCATGACCATTTAGGTTTCAATTTTTTTATTAATTTTTTTGTTTATAATATTAGTTTGAATTGAAAAGAGAGAGGAAACAAGAAATTCCATGAAAGGCAACAAGGTAGTTTAACGAATAAATATTTTTGGGGTCCAATTATGCACCCATATATAGTTTATCCAACTTTATTGACCACACAAATAATTCATATCCAACTATTTCTTTATGTATTATTATAATATAAATAATTCTTTGGGACGTGGGGATCTCAAAACGTAGATTTTACCTGGAGATATACAACTCCGAGTGTGGCAGAAGTAGCACCAAACACCAAACCCAAGTACCACCAGTTAAAAAATGAGCTCTTGGCCTTTCTTTCCTCCGGCGTGTTCTCATCGAACTGGTCTGCTGCAAAGGTTTGCACGCATGGCTTTTGCCCGCCTTGGGCAACCGATAAAATGTACAGCGCCACGAAGAACACCGCTCGGTGACTTTGCGAAGGAATTACTGAGACTGATAGAGTTAAAAGGACCATGGCCTATAACATGATATATCATATACAATCCATGAACACAGAAGATATATATAAGTGCTCAACACGAGCAATGTTTTCTTGGTTTCGTTACACATAATTAACATGCTTATGTTGTCAAACTGTAAATCTGATTTACGGATCACGAAAGCATCCTACTCATATATACTTAAATATATGAAGTAGTGAAAAAAAAAGTAATGAATTTGTTTTTGTTTAATTACCATGAAATAGATGGTGATGGAGAAGAGGATGGTCGTGAAGCGACCCAAATACGAATCTGCAACGAAGGCTCCGAGCACGGGGAAGACAGATGAGACACCGAGCCAGGCGTTTACATTCTTAGCCGCCGTGGCCAAGGGCTGGTCCAGAACATTTGTGAGGTACATGATGAGGTTACTTGCCAACCCATAGAATGCAAACTGCTGGGCCACCTCAACAACTGCAGTTAATAATAATCAAGCAAACAAATGAAATTCATAAAATTAATGAACCGTATAGAAACTCAGATAATTGTGAGAGTTAAATGAGAAAAAAAAGATGAAGATAAAAAGAAATTAAATAGCTTACAGATGATGAAAATAGCAGCATTCCAGCCACCCCTACTGGGTTTTCCCTGTGTAGGAGAAGCAATACTGTTCATGATTGATGGTGTTAGAGAGCTGAAATATTGGACATGGCGAAGTGGGAAAATATTTTTTGAGGTTTCTCTGCAAATTTGGGTGTGATTTGTGTGTGTGTGTGTGGTGGGGTGGGGCGGTGGTGGTAGTTGCATGTTGTGTGGCCCAAGACAGGAGAGTGTAGCGTAGAGCTTTGATTGCATGAGTGGAGGAAGGAGGAAACCCACCACGTGTATGTGAGGCATATTAATGATTATTATGAGGCAAAATATACTATTAAGAGGACTCTCTTATTATTACAATTCAGCTCGTGAGATCTATGCACAAACTGACATCACCGACTATTTTAAAAGTTTATCGCTTGTATTAAAAAAAAGGATTATCAATAAATGTTGTTGATGATTTTAGGAAAAAATATGTCTTTACACGGCATTATGGTATGCTATATTTTCTAAAACTTATCATATATTTGACGCATGTAAAATTGTGAATAATAACGTAAAGGAACTTGATACGTATGTCTAGAAAGAGCGAAATCCAAACTAGGAGCAATGTCAATTTTAGCAATTTTCTTTTTTCTCTATTGTTCAGTGGGTTAATTCAGTTTTATGACTAGAGTTCCAAAACTCCGAAGAAAAGAAAATTATTAAAATTCACACTTCTTTTGGCATCTAACCACGGGGAGAGATCAGAGAATACTTACCTGAACAGGATTAACATGACATTGCGTATCACAAAAAAGGCATATTAGTTGGAATGACAAGAAATTTGATATCGACACATCAATTTCTTTTTTAGATGTCTTCATTCGATAGAGCACCTTTTTGTATATATGTTTGTGTGTGTGTGTGTATATGAGTGAAGGAGAGAGTAGGAGTGTTAAGGGAAAGAGACAGCCAACCATATGCAATATTTTAGAAGACAATGACGTAGTCAATCATATTTTAGAACACACCAGATATCTGATAAGTCTTAGAAAATATAACATTCCAGAAATATAGTCAATCATTTTATTATATATTATTTTTACAAACAATGTGCTATTACAATAGGGCTAGTCACAACTCAATATTAAACTTTATCACAACTACATATCCGAATCGCCTCATTCATGTGAGGCGAACTCCCAAACCAAGTCGAGACAATTACCATTACATCAAAGATTAATCTTTGTTTACTAAAAAAAAAAGACTAATCTTTGGATTATATGTAAGACACCCAGCGTTATATGTAGGGCACTTGGAGTTTTTACCCACGTAAATGTGAGTCATATTGATGAATTTTATGCGGCGAAGTATACTATTAAGAGGATTCTACTATTGATACAATTCGGCACATGATCTATGAACTTCACCGACTATTTTAACAGGTTATCAATAAGTGTTATTGTTGACAATTTTAGTGGAAAATTTGTCTTTGCTAGGCATATGGTATGTTATATTTTCTAAGACTTATCATATATATGGTGTGTGAATTAATAATGATGTAGAATAGATGACAAAGACCATCAAAGAGCAGCTTGATACGTACATTCAGAAACAACAAAATCCAAGCTATGTAGATTTGGATTCCGAGCTTTGAATTTGAGTGCATGACCAATCATTTCAAAGAGAACGGCGAGACAAGTCAAACTCATCGCTTTGTGTTGACATATGAGCTTTTTAGGTGAAATGTTGTCGCTTGCTAGGTCAGAACAACGTTTTAAATTTTAAGGGTATTATTGAAATTGTTTTATTTTTGTATTTTGCTTCCAATTAGGCTTTGTCGACATGCGAAGGTTTGAGGTATTATCTAAAGCTTTGCGATTATAAACACAGAAGGATTGAATAATTGTGAATGATATTATAATTCTCCAAGGGGAGGATATGTATATATACAAGTACAAGTTGACTTTTCCTACAAGAAAAAGTATATAATTAGCTAATTACAAGTAATCCTAATTAGGTAACTATTCTAATTAGATAACATGAATTACACCAGGAAAACAGGGATCACGGGATTCCTTTAATTATGGCTCACGCAAACACTCCCCCTTAAGTTGGTGCGTAGATATCTCCTATGCCCAACTTGTCAAGTGAGTCATGAAAAACATTTGCTGACACCGCATGCGTTAAGACATCTGCCAACTATTCTTCTGACTTCACAAATGGTATATCGATTAGCTTATCTACCAGCTTCTCCTTGATATAATGCCCATCTACTTCAACATGCTTAGTTCTGTCATGTTGAACTGGATTATTTGCTATCTCTCTCGCAACTTGGTTCTCACAGTAAAGCTCCATGACTTTCTTTGGTGGAAAACCAATTTCGAACATGAGCATCCTTAGCCAAAGAAGCTCATGAACTCCTTGTGCTATGCCCCTGTATTTTGCCTCAGCTGAAGATCGAGCCACTACATTCTACTTCTTACTTCTCCATGTAACCAAATTACTCCCAATGAAAGTGAAGTCACCCGATGTAGAACATGAGCATTCTTGGGTTTAGGTGTGATACAAGCCGAGTCCTATATCTTCTTGCATCAGAAAAAATATGCAAGAACATTATTGGACAAGTTTGGTTTCAAAGATTGTAAAGCAGTTTCAACTCCACTTGCTATGAATGAGAGGTTGTCAAAGGAGGATGGAAGTGAACAGGCAGATGAAAAGGTATACAGACAAATAGTTGGAAGCTTATTATATCTGACTGCAACAAGGCCAGATATCATGTTTACTGCAAGTCTCCTAGCTAGATACATGCATGGACCAACTAGAAAGCATATGGGAACTGCCAAGAGAGTACTTAGGTACATTCAAGGTACTCTTGACTATGGCATAGCATATGAGAAGGGAAAAGAAGCAATGCTTGTTGGATATTGTGATAGTGATTGGTCAGGATGTGAAGATGATATGAGGAGTACTTCTGGCTATGCTTTTCATCTTGGATCAGGTGTTTTCTCTTGGGCATTAGTCAAGTAAAGCAGTGTAGCTCTATTCGCTGCAGAGGCAGAATATGTTAGTGCAGCAGAAGCTACAGCACAAGCAGTCTGGCTGAGGTTTGTTCTATCTGATTTTGGTGAGGAACAAGTTGAAGCTACTCAAATTTTCTGTGACAACACTTCAGCAATAGCAATAACAAAGAATCCAGTGCATCATCACAAGACAAGGCACATAAATAGAAGATTTCATTTAATCTGAGATGCTTTGCAAAATGGTGAGATTGATTTGTTATACCGCAGAACTGGAGAGCAGAATGCAAATATCTTTACTAAGGCTTTGGCAAGGGATCGGTTTGAATATCTAAGGAGCAAGCTTGGAGTCATTTCAGCTAAACACTTAGAAGGGAGTGTTAAAGTATAAGTGTGTTAGCTGAGTATTTGTGTTATTTGATTTAATTGTATTGACTTAATTGTGAACCATTGGATCACAGTCCAATGGACAGCTAAGATGTATTCTTAGGTGTAGTGATTTAATTCTGCCATGTGTTGCTATCTCATAGGATAGTGAAATTGATGGCTAGATTTGGATGATGTAAGAACCCATCTGATATACTTTGCTGCACAGCTTGTGCGTGACTAAGAGGGAGAATAGACTTCATTTTTTCTAATCTTCTTCTCCAAGCTCTCTGTGTTTCCTTTTTTCTCATCAGATCTCCATCTACCAATAATCCAAAACACTAAACAGATCATAGTCTGTAAATTCTAACAATTAGGGTGTATCAGGGGTATTTTTGGTAGTTAAATAGGGTTTATTTAGATAATTTTACATTTTGATTTAAATATTAAGGTGCACTTAGATCATAAAGTACACTCATTTAATTTTAGAATTCGTTTAGCAGCACTCTAATTAATTTATGTGGTTGCTGCACACAAGAAGAAAATTGGTCTGTTGCGACACTGTGTTACGATGGAGCACGCGGCCCTCGCAAATACTCACTAATTTGGCACGGCGTGTTTTGGCGCGAATGTATTTTCTACACCATTGTAAGTGCGCACTACTTGCTAGAGCAACTTGTGATTGAGGCTTGACTAATTAATTAAGCACAACTGACACCAACTAAAAGCATGAAAATGTAAGTTCTGCAGTTTAATTATAGTTGCACGAAATCAACAGATCCAATCATCCCTCTTGAATAAGAGGAAAAGAAATTAAGCTGATTTGTCCACGTCCTGCAAGTTTCAAGAAATCAGACGAGGCTTTGTGTATTCCACATATACGTACTAATTTAAGCAAAAACTCAGAACTTGTCTGGTAATGCTTTTTAAAACTATTTCTGTAAAATGTTTTTGGAAGTGAAATTAAGAGAATAAATGTATATTTCTAGGATTGGCAGTTTAATTGAAACGTAATTTATGTGAACGAATCAAGAACAAGTAGATTGTTTAAAGTTTTGACAATGGCCTCAATGGTCGAAATCATATACGCCAACGGAGTCTAGCCTAGTGGAAAAGGACCTTAATTTGCAAACTAGTTGTCTCAAGTTTAAACCCACATGACATCATAGTAGTGTGTGCGTGTGTGTGAGAAACCCCCTCCCCTGTAGTTTAGACTCTCGTTACTAAAAAAAATAGGATTTAACTCTATCTATTGGTTGCTTAACAAAATGTTACCCTTTATTTTTCAGTTTAATTAACCACATTTTTTTGAGTTTTTTTTTTTAATACAAGCGATAGTCTAATTAAACTACAAGGATATAGGAGGGTTCGAATATGAGATCAATGGTCTGAAACTCAATACCCTTTTCCACTAGGCTAGACCTCGTTGGTCACATTCTTTTGAGTTATATGTACTGCATCTAAATCCTTTTGATTGAAGCTATGTCATGCAAAGCTAACGCTCAACCCACAAACTAAAAGACAGTCTCTTGGAAATGCAAAGCTATAAAATTTCACATCGAAACTTGACAAAGTAACTTACAACATATAATGAGTGGTTCCACTACTAATAGCACCGAGCCGTTTTGTGGTAAAATCTCACACTTACAAGACTTTGTAAGTGGTTAAGTTTAGGACAACATTTATATTATTAGTGGTGGGCCGATGGTTTGTCTCTGGCTATCTAATTACCCTAATATGCCATGTACAACATATAATTAATGAGTGATAAAACTCCACCATTTGTCAGACTAGCCGGGGCTACGAATATGCATGCTTCTAAAGATTACATTAGCTCTGCATGGTCTGGTGGAACTCGTGCTGTTAGAAAGTCCAATTCTCATGACACTATACCTTAATCACAATTTTATTATTGTTGTCAAATTAACCTTCGGATCAATGTCAAGAAGAAAAGGTACATTTTAGCAATAGTGATCAGATATCATCTCTCTTACAATTTTCTTTTTTCTCTATGACTATTGTTGAGTGGGTTAATTCAGTTTTATGACTAGACGTCCAAAATGCAGTGATAGGATAATTTTCTTTCTTTAATTTCAAATTCGTCAATTCTATCCCAAAAATGCTATATCAATTCTTTCCCAAAAAATGTTGCCTGAAATTCTTTCATTGGGAAAAAAAGAGTCATCAAACCAAACCGTGGGGAGAGCTCAGAGAATACTTATCTGAACTGGATTAACATGACATTGCGTATCACAAAAAATGCATATTGGTTGGAATAGCAAGAAATTTGATATCACCACATACACCATCAATTTGTATTTTTGACGTCTTCATTCAATAGAGCACTTTGTGTGTGTGTGTGTGTGTTTAAAGAGGACTTTGCTTGCACATATGAGTGAAGGAGAAAGAGAGTTGGAGTGTTAAGGGAAAGAAGGAGCCAGACGTAAAATCTTTTAGAAGACAACTCCAGAAATATTGTCAACCATTTTATTATGTACAATGTATATTTTTACAAACAATGGGCTAGTCACAACTTTATCACAACTACGTGTATAGTAATTGCATCCATGTGAGGCGAACTCTCGAACCAAATCGAGACAACTATCACTACATCAAAGGCTAATATTTGGATTATATTTAGGGCACTTGGCGTTATGTAATTAATTTAGTTTGGTTACGAGTGGATGAATTCCGTCAGAAGTCGGATGCTTGGATTTTGTTCAAATGAGACTTGAAACCTTAATTCTTGTCCTAATAATTCTAAACTTGTTGCAAAAGGATGAATTTGGGCCACTTTTGAGTACATATGCAGTTGGATGGGAAAAAAAAAGTACAAATGCAGTCAGTAATTTATGGACCCAGGAGATGTGTAAACAGCAAACTCTGGACTTATATTTTTGTCATCCTAGATGGAAAGAATTCTGGATCCTTTTAATAATGAAACCCATGGAAGGAAAGTAAAATATGGATGCGTATCTGTTGTAATAATGAATCACAGATTTCCTTATCTGTAATTGCAGAGAAGCAAAATCTGGATGCTTAAAGGCTAAGGTTTTGAGCATTCTACTATAAAGTATTGTTCACCAGTTAAGGTTTTGAGCATCGAACAATGGCTAAGCATGGAGCACTCTTGTTTACTCATGCTTTCTTCATTCTCATACTCAGTATGAGCTTATTTTGCAAAGCCATTGGTCATGAAGACAGAAAGCCATATATTGTGTACTTGGGGTCACTTCCTCATGATGAGTTGTACTCACCATTGTCTTACCACCTTGGTTTACTCGAAAGAGTTGCCGAGGGCAGCTCTGCTGCAAATGCCTGGATAAGAAGTTACAGAAGGAGTTTCAATGGATTTGCGGCGAAGCTCACTGACCGTGAGAGCAGAAAGCTTGCTAACATGGAGGAAGTAGTCTCTGTCTTCCCAAGCAGAACTTACCAACTTCAAACAACAAGATCTTGGGACTTCATGGGTTTTGGTGAGACAATCACTCGAAATGCCACGACTGAGAGTGATGTTATTATTGGTGTGATTGACACTGGAGTTTGGCCTGAATCAGATAGTTTTAAAGATGAAGGGTTTGGGCCTGCTCCTACGAAATGGAAAGGTGCTTGTAATGGTGGAAAAAATTTCACTTGCAACAAGAAGTTGATTGGAGCTCGGTTTTTCACATCAGAGGAGGAATCTGCAAGGGATGAAATTGGTCATGGAAGCCACACTGCCTCAACGGCAGCTGGGAATGCCGTAAAGGATGTGAGTTTTTATGGACTAGTACCAGGTACTGCAAGAGGAGGAGTTCCCTCTGCGAGAATTGCTGTATATAAAATCTGCACTCTTGAAGGGTGCACTGGAGAGGCTATCTTGGCTGCTTTCGACCACGCTATTGCCGATGGGGTTGACATCATTACAATTTCAATTGGACCAAATCATGCATTTCCTTTGGATGTTGATCCTATAGCAATTGGTGCTTTTCATGCAATGGAGAAAGGGATACTAACCTCAAACTCTGCAGGCAACAATGGTCCTGAAGAGGGTTCTGTATCAAGTGTGGCACCGTGGATTCTTACAGTTGCAGCAAGTAGCACAGATCATCGGATCATTGACAAGGTTGTTCTTGGAAATGGAAGCACACTCGTTGGGAGTTCGGTGAATTCTTTCAGTTTAAATGGAACAAGTTTTCCACTGATACATGGAAAAGATGCTTCAAGTAAGTGCCCCGAAATCTATGCTTGGATTTGTTTACCAGGTTGCCTAGACAGAGATTTAGTTAAAGGAAAGATTGTGGTATGTGATAAGTTTGGTGGAAATGTTGAGGCTCATAAAGCTGGTGCGCTAGGTTCAATTTTACTCTCTTCCACACCTGATGTTTCTTTTGTTGTCCCACTACCTGCAACGGGTTTAAGCTACCAAGATTATAATGTCGTGAAGTCCTACCTGAACTCCACGAAAGAGCCTGGAGCCAACATATTAAAAAGTGAAGCCATAAAAGATGATGATGCACCTATTGCCGCTTCCTTCTCTTCACGTGGACCTAATCAAATTTTACCAGAGATTATTAAGCCGGACATAAGTGCCCCAGGGGTAGATATTTTGGCTGCATATTCCCCTGTTGCTCCTGTCACAAGTAGCCCTGAGGACAAGAGGAGTCTAAAATACAGTATACTGTCTGGAACATCCATGTCTTGCCCACACGCTGCTGGTGTAGCTGCATATATTAAAACATTCCACCCTGATTGGTCTCCGGCAGCCATCAAATCATCTTTAATGACAACTGCTAAGCCCATGAATGGTACCAGCACTTCTCCTGGTGAATTTTCTTACGGATCTGGACATATTGATCCTGTGAAAGCTATAGACCCCGGGCTTGTGTATGATGCTTCGAAAGAAGATTACATAAGGTTGCTCTGCATGGTGTTAGATGAGGCCAAAGTTAGGCATATATCGGGAGATAACAGCACTTGCCCCAAAGGTTCTGAGAAAGGATCACCAAAGGATCACAATTACGCTTCACTGGCAGCAAATGTTACACCAATGAAACCGTTTACGGTTACATTTCACAGAACAGTGAAAAATGTTGGCCTTACCAACTCCACTTACCAGGCCAAAATCATGCCAAATCCTAAGATTGACATCAAGGTGGATCCTGAGGTTCTTTCCTTCAAGACCTTGAATGAGGAGAAGACTTTCAATTTGACCATTGTTGGAGAAGGTTTTCCAGATGGATCACATGTGTCTGCAGAGCTGGTTTGGTACGACGGAACTCATAGCGTTAGAAGTCCAATTCTTGTAAGCAGTGTGGGAAATTAACCACAATTGCCTTAATGGAAAACCATTGCTGCATAGCAGACAAATTTTCTTATTGTATCTGTCCCTTTGTCTAACAAGTCAAGTTCTGAAATAAATGTGCTCAAACCTTGGAACTTTAGTGTTACTCAAAAAATCTGGTTATGTGATCACCCAAATATATTTTTTTTTTTCTGTTTTTCAGCAGCAGTGACTAGAAGTTATGCTTTCTGTATGTTTACAATTTTCCTTTTCTATGAAAGTGGGGAAATTTTCTGCAGTGGGGGAACTCAATTTTACAACTGTCCTTAAACTAAAATAGGTAACTAAATAATTATCTGCACAAGGCACTGCTGCTAGAAAATGCGGGAATTCAATTTTCCTTTTATAATAAAATTGTTATGATTCTGTGAAAATGTCAAATGTTGAATTCAAGAAATGCGTCTTCAATTTATTGAAGAGGAGAAAATGGTTGAGATACTTTGTGCATTACAACACTGCATATGATGTTTCCAACAAAAAGTGACAATTGAATTTTATTTAAATGAGATTTGAAGAAAGCAAGCAAGGGGTGTTGCATAGCTCTACTGGTTGAAGAGTGTTTACCGTTGCGCTCGAGGTCCCGAGTACAAATGCTCATAACTTATAAGTTGTCACCCTACAGGAAAAGAACTGTCAGAGTCTTTTAAAGAGAATCCACAGGAAGGAAAGGAAATCTGGATGCTTGTTGTAACAATGAATCCCTGATAACACAATCTGTAATTCCAGAGAAGCAAATCTGGATGCTTAATGGAAATGAATTTTTGTGTCCTGAAGTCCTAGTGTAAAGTATTCTTCACCACTGAAGTAATGAGCAGTGAACAAGGGCTAGGCATGGAGCTCTCCTATTTTCTTATGGTTTCTCCGTTCTCATACTCACTATAAGCTTATTGTGCAAAGCGATTGATGAAGAAAGAAAGGTCCATATTGTGTACTTGGGGTCACTTCCTCAGCAGTGTAGCAACTTGACAATAAGCTTATAGTGAGTATACGAAACAGAAGTCAGATATTCTGACTGATTTGTCAAATACATTCATTCCGAATGTACCACATCTAGTTATTTCAAATACTTTCAATCCAATGTTTTCTCTAGTTTTTCTTTAGCAAGTTTAGCTTTGTTGTCAAATCTAAGTCATTTCTTTCAAATACCACCATCCAAATGGAGCCTAGTATTAAAATACAGAATGGACCGAAACACGCTTCCTATACCACTTTCTCGATGAAAATACCTTATATATAAGGTACTCAACTGCAATATAGGCCAACAAGCTTCACTTCTTGATCATCCGCATTAAGCCAGCTCTTTCTCCTTACTGGTTTCTTCAGCTTCAAGTTTTTTGTATACGAAACCTTTAGCAATCCACACATAAACACACAAATTTAAAGTGCTCAATGCTGCAATTAGCCAATAGAAGTAATCTAGGTGGGCACGATTGAGATTGTCAGTAAGCCACTTTTCACCAGACTTCGAGCTAATTGCTTGTACCAAAGTTATTATAGCAGTGCATATGAAGTTTCCAACACCTACCACACTGAGGTATGCTGCTGCTCCCATGCTTCTCATTGCCTCCGGTGTTTGATCATAGAAGAATTCTTGGAGCCCAACAATTGTGAATACATCAGACAAACCACATACCATGTACTGTGGAATTAACCACCACACTTTCATTGGCACTATTGCTTTCAGGTTGTCCAAGAGGTTTTGGTCTCTAACAATGCCAACCCTTTTGGCTTCTACCAAAGCTGCCACCATCATACTGATTATGGATAGAAATAGGCCAATGCCAATTCTTTGTAGGATGGTGATGCCAGAGGGGTGTCCCGTGAATTTTCGGGCTGTTGGGACGAAAACACGGTCATAGATTGGAATTGCAACTGCAATTGTGAGGCCAAGGAATATTTGGAGTGATGCCTGGGGAAGCTTAAAGTTTGGACCAATTGACCGGACCATCGTGCTTCCTTGCTTGGTGAAGAGCGTCTGAACAAAGGATTGGACTACTGCAAACAATAAGCAACACATCCATACGGGAATGAGCCGTAGGACTAGCTTTACTTGTTCTACTTGATTTAGTGAGCATAATCTCCACGGATTTCTGTTCTTGCTTGAAGCATCAAGATGGTCGATGATAATTGCCTTGTCCAAGCATCTAAAGTTTTCAACTAGTAAGACAAATCATTGGGGATAAAAAGGAAACAAAAACAAATCATAATTGAACTTCTAAAAATATAAAAAACACACATACACAAACTAGCAAGGCAAATCATGTTGGTCTTATGTGCATTAGTGCTAGAAGCATTAAAGTTATGGAGACATAAAGTTCCATTTTGATCTATATAATTTATAGATACAACTATTCTGACCTCAAAGGATGTCATGACTATGAAGCTTTGTGTATGTAAAATTGTACCTAAAGATAAGATGAGGCTTTGAATTATGGTGGCCTGTTAGCATACCTCAATTGACTGGTCTGTGCCAAAAGCCTCCTAGTCTCATGCTGATCCTTGTCATCTCTAGAATACACACCAAAACCAGCGGATGTTCCATTGATGTGCCGCTTCCTCGCCGCCGCCACAAACACCTGAGCCACCGTGGTGAAGGGGCTGCCTAAGGGTCCCTGCTTTCTGTATTTCTTGTAACCAAACAGAAACACAGCCAAAGCTACCGCTATTGCCCCTGTCAATATGCCAAACCCTGCCGCCCATCCAACATTATCCTGCACCAAGGAGTGACAAATTTTGGGAGATTCAGAATTCCAATGATCATTAAATTTTGGGAGATTTAGCATTCCAATAATCATTAAATGATTGTGGGGCTAAATGGCCCGCAGTATTATTGTCACCAAAAATGACTACAGGCACAATTCAAGGACAAAGTTTTAAAATTCTGACACATACTTCGGAATATTTTGAACATAAGGAATTAAAAAAACAACAGTGTCACCAAAAAATTTCCCAAATTTTAATCACCAAGCAACTTACATGTCACTTTCTTACTGGTTGTAAATAAATGACAAACTGTCACAAACGGGACACAGAATTTTTGGATTGGATGCGAAAAGGAAACTGAATTTCGTGTCTAAAATTCCCCCGAAAACAAACTATTTGTGTGTGTAAATATGATCAGAGGAAGAGGCTGTTGACCTGCACATATATGACTACTAAAATGGCAGCAGAGGCACCAACTGTGATCCCCAAGTACCACCAGTTGAAGAATGAGCTCTTGGCCTTTTTCTCCTCCGGTGAGTCTTCACGAAACTGGTCTGCTGCAAAGGTTTGCACACATGGTTTGTGCCCAGCTAGTCCAATTGACAGCATGTAAAGTGCTACAAAGAACATTGCCTTCTGATAATGCAGAGGAATTACTGAAACTGTTATGGTTAGCAATACCATTGCCTGCAGAAAGACATGAAAAACTAAGAATCATGGTTTTTATTTAAAAGGGTAACTAATGAAATCAGTTTTGGCTGAACTTTACCAGTAAATAAATGATGGAGGAGACAAGGATGGTGTTGAATCTACCAAGAAACGCATCAGCTATGAAGGCTCCAAGTATTGGGAGGAGAGATGACACTCCAACCCAAGTATTGACATTTTTTGCAGCCATGGGGACTGGCTCATGGAGTTCATTTGTGAGGTATGTGATGAGGTTACCAGCCATACCATAGTAAGCAAATCTCTCTGCCACCTCAACAACTGAAACAATCAAATACAAAAAGATTTTGGAGATTAATTTAAAAAAACTCTAAGAAGAAGCAGAAGCGGAAGAGGACGAAGTTGGCTTACAGATTATGAAAATAGCAGCACCCCAGCCACCTCTGGAACTGGAAGGTTCTTCTTGGCAGATGAGATTCTGCTCTCTGTCTTCATGGTCATTTTGAATCCTTAATGGTGGTGCAGAGCCAGAGGTATCCATAACAAATTGTTGAATGTTTGAGGTTCAATTTTGAGTATATTCTAAGTGCACTCGCATACATACAAGTGGTACTTAGCAAACTCTGTGGGTATTTATTATAGCATGTCATTTTATGTAAAGTAGGTGCTCAATCAGATTTAATTGATGTTGACAAAAAAAAAGAACAGATTTGAAAAGACAAAATAAATAGAGGGGAGGAGAAGCAAAGGACACTAATGATTTGGAGCAATTGCTCTTTCAGATAAAGTTCTGGATTCGAATTCTAGAATTCGTGTAGTTTGTGTGAGTTTAGTATATTATCACTCCTCTTAATAAAGAAGCTCCTCAAAAAACAAATTTAAAGGAGGAGGGAAAGAAGAAAAGCTGGCTTTTTTACTTGGACGGTGCGGACACAAAAGAGACGTGAACATTTTAGGTTTGGCTGCTATTGGAAAGGTAGGAAAAAAAAACAAGGTACGTAATGGTTGATCTCTCAAAATCATGTATTTGTTTTCTTTCTTTTTTTTCTTTTTAGCAAAGTTGCAGGCTATTCTCATAAATGAGCATTAAGGATAAGGCAGAGGAATTTTTCCTATCTCATCAATTGTTGGAGATGAGCTCACTAAATCATAAAATAATGCTAGAAAATGTATACAATGTATTTTATATGTTGGCAAGTTTTTTTTTGTTTTTTTTTTAATTTAGAATTCTATTTATTTGGAACCTCCTCTATTATTATAAGCTTTTTTTACCTATTGGCGTTTTGCAGTTCCAAAAGCACTTTCAAATGAGCCAATAATTCAAGTACTTATTCCTAATAAGTAATCATGCTACAAACACTTTCACATCATATGATAGGGTTTTGAGTAAACGAAACACTTCCACATTATTTGGTGACTATATTTGATTATCCAAGTACAGTCATTAATTCAGTTAAATCATATGAGTCCAAAGAACTAAGATAACATAAGAATAAACAGGTTTTCGCAAAAACAACTTATTTTCCAAGTTTTGCAGCAACAAGTAAATCATTAACTACAATTAAATACACAAAGAACTCAATGGTGTGCTGGTTTGGAATAATTGCTCCCTCAGGTTGGGTTCGAGACCCAGGAATTTTTTAACGGAGGTGCAATTTTGAAAGGCTAAAAATTATTTGTGGATTGAACATCTAAGGCTTTTTATTTAGACTGAACATCTAAGGCTTTTTACCTAGATTGACTTTAGGTCCCTTCATTCATTCATATCATCCATGAAAAATTGTTTTATGTAAAAATATTGACTAAGTATGAAAAATGGTATTTTAAAATAATCATTTTCTCAAGATAATTTTTGGCGGCTTTTATTCCTTACACATCAAATAAGAAAACTTGATTTTATGGGATTTTATTATGAAGTATATATTGACTTAATGAACCATCATTTTTAGCATAAATCGTATTTTGCACTAAAACCGATTTTTCATATTTTGATTTTGTGGGAATTTGATTTTCTAGTATTTTTATTTGAATCCAAATGGGGGGCACTTCCTTATTTACATTGTAAACTTAAGTAAATGGAGTAATATAAAAATAAATAAAAGTAAAAGAACAAAGACATTTACTTGGACTATGGAAATAAGGTGTAATCTGTGCACCATCACCAGTTAAGCAAAACAACAGTTTGAAGCACCTACAATGATTTTTCCAACGAGAGAAAGTGCATGCACCTTCTTGCGTCTTTATAGATCCGCCATTAGTTATGTACACATCTCAAGTGCTGATCCAAGCTCAATAACTTGGAGCTACAAACCTACAACCTCCACCGCACTAACGTTCCTTGTCTTTTTATAATTTTCTTCAGTAACAAAAATACAAACAGATCACTACTACCTAAAACGTGGAACAACCACAACTTGATTTGTCAGAGTTTAGAAAAAGACTTCTAATAATAAAGGGAAAATCATTACTCGGCCACAAGGTCACATCCTAAATGAATAACATTTGTAACAATGCTCCAAAGTACTGTAAAAAGAAGGAGATTTAAGCCAATGGGTTCCCACCACAGTGGTGGTGGCATCTCCCTTCCCTCATGGATCGAAACACTAAGGTGGGTTGTCTTTCCTCTCAATGTAACCAAAAAAAACAAAGATTCAACTCTCTCTATATTTCCCAAACAACAAAATAATAATAATAATAGATGCGGGCAAATAAACTGGCAAACCGGCAAAATCGACCAAACTGGACCTGTGTAAAAAAAATAAGTGTATTGGGGACGGCTATTAAGATGGGCTGATACAGGAGTGAAATTATTTGAACCTGTGATTAAAGAAGCTATGCTCTCTTGGGGAGGGAGGTTGTCATGAGTGTGTTCTTATATGTGTTTGTGGCATATGTGGACTATTTGGCTTCAATCTCCTCTTAAAGGTGCTAGCTTAAGCATTATTAAGTTACGGGCTTTTTTGGCTCTAAGAGTTGAACAGGTTGGAGCCAGTCATATCTTAAGTAAGCTAAGCTCAGGCCCTAACCAAGAGTTAAGAATTTTTGGGCTCATGGATGGGCCTATATGGCCCTAACAAATAGGCCACATATAATTAAGAGTGTTATTTCCACCCCGTCCTATTTTCCCATTTATCTCATCTTCAAAATTTTAAAGATAAATTTACCTCTTTGTAAAATGACTTCTAAAAACTTAAGAAAAACACATCGGATCTGGATCCTCGGTTTATTTTTTGTCTGCTAGGATGTACTAGCCTTTTAATGATGACTCAATTTGACATCGTAGTTCTGTTGTTATCAATTTGACCATTTTGTCAAGTGTTGCCATCAAGAGAAATCTTATTGTTAATGTTATTTAATTTTCTTTTTCTAACTGAATTTTTTTATAAATCTAAATAATTAGATAATGGACTATATTGGCCAACGAAATCAAATATATAAACAAAATTGACCAAATCGACAGTACATCAACTAAATTGGCCTATTTTGAGTTTTCTATGGCATAGCCACTATGAGATACTTCAGCTTTATAAAGTAAATTTTGATATTCCGCTGCCATGTTGAATGTATGTTGCAGTAACCATTTCTCCAATTTAATGAAAATGTTTGCGTTTTGTGATCCTGATCACAATGCAAAACTAAGCCATGTTTTATGTCTTTTTGTTGTTAGCAAGACCTAATTCAAGTTTATGCTTAAAAACCATCCACAGATAGCAATGAATTTTGTTTCTTAATGTGAGCTAGACAAAGATACTATTTAGGTTTTTGTGCACTCAAAACCAAAGCATATTGAACAAGGAAACACTAGCTACAATACAAGTGCACAACTTTGTTTTTTTTTTTTACTTCACTAGGTCGCAAACCCACTAAAACCATCATCTCATCTATGGCCTCATACTTCTCCAGCCCTAGTGCCTGCTTTTTTTGCCCCAGTTGGTTTTTGGGCTTCAACTTTTTTGTACACAAAACGCTTTGCAGTCCACAGATAAACACACAAATTCAAAGCACTCAATCCTGCAAGTACCCAATAGAAGTAATCAAGGTGTGCTCGGTTAAGATTGTCTCCCAACCATTCGTCCCCCGACTTGGAGCTAATCGCCTGCACCAAAGATATAATGGCACTACTAAGGAAGCTTCCAATTCCTAGAATACTAATATATGCTGCAGCCCCCAAACTTCTCAGCCCCTCTGGCATTTGATCATAGAACAATTCTTGGAGCCCCACAACTGCGAATGTATCTGACAAACCACAAATTAGGTATTGTGGGAGGAGCCACCAAACCCTAATTGGTATAATTGCTTTAGGGTTGTCCAGGAGATCATGTTGTTTAGCCACACTAACCCTTTTGGCCTCCACTAGAGCTGCCGCAACCACGTTGAGGATGGAGAGAAATAGGCCAACGCCAATTCTTTGTAGCACGGTTATGCCTGCGGGGTGTCCGAAGAGCTTTCGGGCCATCGGGACGAAAATCCGGTCATAGATTGGGACGGTGATTAGGATCGTGATGCCGACGAAGACTTTAAGCGACGCTGGGGGAAGCTGGAAATGGGGTCCCATGGATCTGTTCATCTTGGAACCTTGCTTGGTGTAGTAGGTGTGGAGTTGAGATTGAACGACATTGAACATTAAGCAACTCAACCATATCGGAATAAGACGGAGGACCAACTTCACTTCTTCCACTTGATTTATAGAGCACAGTCTCCAAGGGTTCCTCGTTTTGCTCGATGCATCAAGGCTGTCAATGATCATTGCCTTGTCCAGAAACCTATAGTTATCAAAAATCAACCATACTTTATTCAAAGAATATAACTACGCACATCACAAATAGACGTGAATAAGTCGCATTTCTTTTTAGAAAATATTTCAGTGTGATTGTAAATAACATCACGTGAGATGTTGACATTATATATGTATATATATTACCAATCGACCCGAAATCATGACACATGTAGCAAAAGATTAAGCACGAGTTATAAATTGAGTGCTTTGAACATATCAGTTGTTACTGTCACACAAAAGCATGGCGCATAAGATATAGTTGAAATATTTCTACTGGACTCTTCCATCCCCTTTTTTTTAGTAGTTGCTTCAGGATGCAAACATGGCCCTGCTGAGGTCACCATCCACAGTCTACACTTAATAATATGATCCACGTTGACCCTACGTTTTTATTTGTTTGGTCGAACGACCTTGCGTTTTACTCATGAAGTCCAACCAGGAAACTTGCCAACGGCCCACGTCACCCTTGGGCATGCCCGCCAAATGGACTCACTAATAACTGACTCAATGAAACCCTTCTTTCGATAAAAACCTTTTTTTGTTGGATTCAAATTCAAATCTTGTTGAAATTCATCACGTTATAAGTACCTGAATTGTTTGGTCCTAGCCAAAGTCTTGTGATTGGGCTGAGCCTCCATATGAGTCTCACTCCTCTCATCTCCATAATACACATCCCAATCATGCGTCTCCTTCACGCGCCACTTCCGTGCCGCTGCGGCAAACACTTGCGCCACCGCAGTGAACGGGCTCCCGAGGGGACCTTGCTTCCGGTAACTTTTGATTCCTAGCAAAAATAATATGATCCCGGCTGCTATGACCGCGGCCAATACACCATAGCCTATAACCCAGCTCACGTTGTCCTGCAGTGTATATGATATGAACTTTTTATTACTGGGATATTTAGACTCCGGCCCTAATCTCACAAATTTTATTTACATTAATTTTTTATATGATTGGATTGAGTCTCTCATATAATGATTAGTATACGTGCTTGTGATGAATAAATTAATAAATAAAAATTCACAAGATTTTTCGATTAAAAGATAACATGTGTCCAAACTTAACCATCAATTCATTAAAAGATTATATATCCGCATAATGTTTAATTGATGAATATATAGCGTTGAAGATCTAAATAAAAACAATAGAAAAATCACACAATAAATTAATAAGCTTGAAAAGTCTGTCACCTGAATGTAGATGACGACAAGTGAGGCAACAGTGCCAGCAATTACTATCGCTAAATACCACCAGTTGAAGAATGAGCTCTTGGCCTTTCTCTCCTCCTCCGAGTCCTCGTCAAACTGATCGGCGGCAAAGGTTTGGACACAAGGCTTATG